TGCTGCTAGGTTGTGAAACCATCTTGCGTGTTGTCGTGACTAGTCGGACGGTTGTCAAATTTGAGAACTCGGATTTTGGGCTCCAAAGTATGGACGGCGGCGTTCAGACCGGACAGGCCTTACTTGTGAAACCCACCTGTTTGAATTTTCAACACTTGTAGTTTGAGAGATGTCGGTTGATTATATAGCAGAACAGAAGCTGTTCAGCCAGCCATGTCGTATTTCCAGCAAGACATGCAGATATCTCGTGCTTAGTTATAAACGCCTGAGACCGTGTGGCAAATTGTCCAACCGCGGATTCTAAGTTTCTGGCTGGTTTGCTTACCGAGACAAAGGCCCGAGATTCATGGCTGACAGGAGTTTGCCTCTCCCAGCAGGGCCGTGAAGAACTAGGCCTGTTTCCATTTTTCATATCTGAAAGTTGAGTTCGCGTATACACCCTGAACATAAGCAGATCCAAATTAAAAGAAGCCGCACAAGTCAATAGGCTTTCCATGAAGGGCGTTGGCGTGACACCTCTGAATCTGAGGCTACACTGCGCGCGGCGAATGTCCACCTGTTGTGTGAAGCACACAAAGTGCCGTCCGTGGTTGGCAGAAAAATGCAGTCGCTACTAACTGCAAAGAATCTTTTTATGCTAGCTGGATGTCCTTGAACGATTGGTTCTAGAAGCCGTTGCCGCTCCCGTGTTCTATGGCTGCGAGGTCCCCAGGCAGGGGCGACAATGTTGCGGTGTCCCTCAGTCTAGGGATGATAAACCGGAGTCTCTGCGAATCTCTTGTTGTCCCTCTAGGGTACTGTAGGCAACCACGTGCACGGCCGCAGCAGGGAAAGTCAAGGCCACCACGCCCGCAACTCTTCTAGGAAACAAGACGAGATCTGCAGATTCCTGCCTTGCCTGACCCTCTGTCGCTTGGTTTCGGTGAAGCAGGGATGGCAGCTGCACCCTCCCTGATGAAAAAGAGTGTCACCATACAATAAGTCTGCACACAGACGCATGACGACGGCAACCACTAACTACCACAGCTAGTATTTCCGTTATTACAAGCATGCGTCTACCGTTGCTAGGACTATGGCCTGTGCAAATCTCTGAGCCCTGAACCTTGACCTCTGAACGGCAAACCCTAAACAAAGCTTGTAGCCTTTGGCCTTAGCTTCGGAGCCAGGCTTCGGGCAGGAAGAGTCGAATTACAAGCAGAGGGCCCTCCAACCCTTGAAAGAAAGAGCCTTCCATGTGTTTCGATGACGCTGTACCAATTAATGCACAAAGGAAGTGATGGGATCCTTATATGCGGCCGAAATCTTGCCGCAGTTTTTTTTGACTTCTGCTGCAGCCATTTTGGTACAACACGGGGCTACTGAACTGATTCCCCAAGATTCGCCTAATCATGGCACAACTTGTTTGGCTTGGGATCTTCCTTGCTTGTACCGAGTTTCATGTTATTTGATTTTGTGAATGGTAGAGGGTTCTCGCTCTTCCCAGCTACGCCGCGCCTGCGTTGGTTCCGCAGTCTCCGCCCGTGCTTAGACTGTCAGCGCTTCCGGGCGTGTGGGAAACATGCAAGTGTCACCAGCGCAAGTGAAGTGATGCTTTTTCAGGACCATCACGCAAGGGGGCATTCCACCTCTCCCACAGTTACGGGTCTTTTTGCAATGATCCTCTTATGTATCAGGATTGACGAGCGCAGCTCAGCGCAACAAAGCATGAAGCCTGCTTTTGTACAAGGTTTGAAAAGCAGCTTCCCACTGCATTTCCTACAGCTGGCCGTTTTGTACAGTACCAGGCAAAGAGGCTCTTTACATCATCTCTCCCATGGAAGCCTAGTAAACCTTGAGGTCAACGATGCCAGGTGTTTGCCCTTGGCATCAGCAAGGTTCCAATGTTTTGCCAGCACGTTTGACTTTCAAACAACACACATTCGAAGCATAGTTGCAAGGATTCTTGGTGCTCTTGCGAGTCGCACTTCCAAAAGCTTTCACGCTTAGCTTTCTCGGCTGGAAAGAGCTGCAGCGCGCGAGAATTTTGGAGAAAACAGCAAAAGCTGTTTCACCGGATGACGGACGTCTCGGCTCACCAGGTTTTCAGCATTCGTTGTCTTGCAACTAGGATTCTGAAATATCTCCCAGCCAATTGAGGCACCTTCATAAGGTTTCTCATATGACTCAAGTAGGATGGAACAGAAAGAGTCATGAGGGAGAAGACATTCCGTCCTGCGTGTGGATTCTGGCCAGGCAGTCCATTTCAGGCTTGGAATTTGCCCCATGGGCAGCGGTGCGAGCAAACCATCGGCAACCAAAGGAGGCAAGCTTGAATGGCAATGACGAATTGCAAATGAGCCATGCAACTTCTGCAGCTGCATCGTCTAGGCAACAGCAAACATGAGAAGCAGCACAGCAACAACTACCATCTACCTGACAAGCCTGTACAGGTCCCTGCTCAAGCGTTAGAATTCTTATTCTTCTTGGCATCGTCAGCTCATTTGTGGTAGCTTTCCTGCAAAAACAATCCAGGAGTGTGTAAGAGTAGCAGGGACAGGGACCCGGCTTGCAAGGAACCAGCCCAGGCTCAGTGTGTACCATCAAAAAATGCCCAGCCCGTGGAAATCATAATTAATGATTTTGGTTAATATCACCGCTCTCGTATGCTGTTAAGGCCTTGAACTTGCTAGCATCTCAGAAGTTAGCACCTTGAGGCCCTGTAGCGCCAAAAGCTGATGCGGATGAAGCTGGCCGCATCGAGGCAGCAAAGCGGGGCGACGAGGATGCGCAGGACAGACTTGACTCTTAGGTGGTGAGTGTGTTTGGGGCCATCACCATGACCTCCGCCGCCACCGCCATCACTGTTATTGCCTCAAACCGCAGTCACAAGTGCAGCTGCAGCTGCAACTGCCAGCTGCGACGACCAAAGCTGTGACATACTACAACTGATCACGACGATGACATACGATGACGTCGACGGTGATGAAACCTTTTTGTGGGTTCAGTCTACACGGTTTGCAGATCAAAGGCAATGTCCTTTTGAGGGCTTCACTTATGATCTGAGCTATTGTTGCCTTTAGCAGCTTCGTTGTTACTGCTGCTGATGCTGCCACCATCACCAATGCCGTCCGTAGTAACTGCAGTTTCGGCACTGGAGTGCCAGGCGCGTGACAGACGCATTCATGCTGGAGTAAGTGCCGTTATTGCAAGTCTTTCGCTTTGTCACATGTCTTCCTGGTTTCCTGAGGATTGGTTCTTCACGAAGCTGATCTTCGGCCTGTGTGTTTTGGGGGTTTGACACCCTTACATAAGCCAGCGCCGGATGCAAATGGACCTTACCGACCACATCCTCATGATCTCTACTGTCTCCCTTCGGTCTTGAAGGGTACCTATATGTGAGACACCCTTGCGTTTTGGGGAAGGGAGACTTGGGTTAGGGATTGGCAGGCTTTGAAGCGGTCTTCAGGGTTTGAGGATGCGGGACTGAGAGTGCAGATCACCGGGTGGTGCGAAGACCCAAGACAAAGCCATAGAGCCGAGGAAACATTGTCATAATAAACTAGACCACAGAGATTACGGCTTGAACCTGGGGATGTAGTGGCGAGTTTCCAGTTCTGCCTGGGTTTAAGGATGAATTCCCGGTGCCTAGGGCCTAGGCGCTAACCTGGTGGCATTTGAGATGTAGAGCTTTAGGGCCTCGGAATGTTAATTAGAGAGTATCTTGATTGTTGAGCAGTTCTTCTCAGTTTGGGGCTTGGGATCAAGAGTGTGGATGTTCGAGGGTCTTGATGCTGGCTTGAATTCTCAGATGGAGGTTCGGGTTCGGGCATTCTAATGTTTGACCCAAGTGTTTCTGGGCAGTGCTGCCGTCTGAAGACTCAAGCTCTGTAGCTCCAAGTTTGAGAGGTGAGCTCTTGTGTGGTGTGCACTGTAATCCGCCTACTGAGCATCAGATTTGGAGTGGTGATGTCCTAACCGTGCTGGTTCAGGGCCCGCTGACGAACTCTATGACCCCTTCAAGTACCAAACATTCCCTATGGACCTTTTTTACGACATGTGTAGGTTGTCTGTGCAGGCTACTATCAAAAATCAAAAAACTTCTCTAGCGGCGACACTGCAAAAAAACCATCCAAAGCTCATGGCACGTGACAGACGCTTCTCAACATGTGTACCCTCTTCCAGGAATCGATTCGCCGCCCAAGGGCATGTGCAAGAGTTGAAAGATATGATGGGAAAATGGGAGAGATCTGCGAGACTGCCGGGCGCTCGAGAGGCAGATGCACCTCCTTTGCCCCTCCAATTTGGCTTGGCTTTGCTAAGGTGGGGCCGTTGCTGCAAAAGCAGCCTGAGAATTTCCAGTACTATGCTGCATGTAGGCACTAGCGGTTACTAGCCGCAGGTCAGGTGGTGGAGTCCTCAAAAGCGCGAACCCTTCCTAAACCTTACTCCCTTAAACGTACTGCCTGCACCATCCTAGGCTCTAAGCCCGAAATCCAAAGCCTCTGAAAAGTAACCCTAGATCCCTCAACCTGAAGCAGGCAACCGTAGCTGCCGCAGAGCAAGGCCAGGCGGAGGCGTTGCAAGCATTGTTGGACTTGGGCGTCTTGGGCTTTGTTTAGAGTTAGTTGTGGGTCAGGGGTTGGCGCCTGGCTGATTGTTAAACATGCTTGAACCTCGAGAAAAAGCCAGCAAGTTGTGTAATTGTTACTGGCGTTGCAAGACCAGTCAAGTTTGTAGTGTTTTCAGCTGCCCTCACTACTTTAAAGCTGGCAGCCTGCCATCTGACACGCAAGGAGCCTGCAGTTTTGAACTGTTTAATGTCATGTTACATGGGCTTTGCCGGAAACTGGAGATATACATTGTTAAGCTAGCAGCTCCAGGAAAGGACCCCCGATCTTTTCTTGGAAGCCCCCACACAGCAGATTCCAGCTTCGGGACTCAAACCCTAACACCGGACGCTTCAGTCAAGCCTAGGTGTGAGACCTTTCATTGGCAGGGACGATCCAGAAGTGAACCCACTGATGGCAGCAGTCAAGAACAGGCGCTGGGAGTGTATCGTGCTGCTGGTTCCGCGCGCGCTGAAGTACAACTTCTCCACTGGATTGCTGCTAAGTATGTACAAGCACACTTTTTGGGAGGCTTACTGGGTTTCTCCCACATGCTGTACTCGTGGAATTCAGAACTGAGGGTCTCCGAAAACTACGGTCCACCTCTATGCCCCCAAATCTAGGATGAAGGAAATAAGGCTGCAAGATGGCATGATGGAGTTTGTTGTGTCTGGTGATCTGGACATGGTGGACACACTGGTCTCCACACACAACATCCCCGGAACCTTTGAATTGATTTGTGTGTTTGTGTCAACAGAGGGGATATGAGGGAGTACTGTGCTATCCAGGGTTGTTTTGCGAAAGTCCTATTGAGAGGGACTGGGCTCAAATTAGTGTTGTTGTCAAGTGGGATCTTGAAATTGGAGGCCATACTCGCAGCACCCACCTCGAACCTTCAAAGTCTTCCCTACAAGATTTAGTGTTCTTGAGTATGGGGTGCCATCGAAGGAGGAGATAGATGCCTTGTGGAAACAGACTTAGCCTTCTAAGATTACAGCCATCCAAGTGAACAACTGGACCCCTTCCCGAGGGAGCTTGCTTCTCAGGGGCACCCCGGCTACTTGAACATGACCGTCGGATTGGTAACGGATCCTGAAGGCTAGAGCCGCATTGATTTCTTTTTACTGTACGGTGTTTAGGCCCAATGGGGCTGTTACATGGCAGTGCATGCTACATCTTCACCAACCAACCTGCGTATAGGAATTGCTGGTATGCCATACATGTAGGGTTCGGACGGGTCCTCACCTGCGAGCAGAATTTTATGGGATACTGATAGGAGGCCAAAAAAGATGCTAAGGGAAAGAGGCCGGAAGGACTGGTCAAAGGGAAGGGGTTCAAGCCCAAACTAGATTGTGTTTTCGTGCTCCAGCTTTCCCGCTGACCTTGCTGTGCCGGTGAACCTAGGCAGTTGCAAGCTGTTGTGCAGCGCTTTACTTCGTGCGCCAAAAGAGAAAGCGCCCTTGATGATGCAGACCTTGGCGGAGAAGACTGCAAGCTTAAACGTTCTTTCTACCCTCTCAGCAGAGGCGAATGCAATAGGCTGGGAGGACTTCACTCCAATCCATGCTGCATGCATGACAACTCAAGTGGACTCCGTGCATAATTTTGTGGAGTTCATCATCGGCAGAGGAGCTGACCTCTCATTGTGGGGTAAGCGCTTGAGTCTAAAGACGTCTTTTGCCAAGCGTCTGCCCCTGCATTATGCAGCCGAGAACAAGAACATGAAAACTGACACTGTGATGATGGTTGCCAGGGCCTATCCGCAGGCACTGTTTGAGCCTGTCAACCGGGTGCCAGGCCGTGATTTGCCATGCCAATGCTGCAAACATAATCCAGAAACACAGCTGGCTCTGGAGAAGTTCATGTACGAGTACATTTGCGAAGCCTGCGACGGGACAGTTGGCAGCAATTTTCTTGAATTGCAGTTTGTAAGACTCTAGAGTTTTACCTGCATGGGAGGCTTGAAATGGGTGCGTTCCCTTGGTGTGCCCAGGTTTGGGCCGGGGGTCAGGCTATGACATATTCCAGCCTGTGGGGTATGCCTTGAGGGGTCATGCAACTAGTATCCTGAAGGATCATATATTCACGAACAGGATGAAGGCCGAGAAGGCAGCGGATTTCTTCCGACTGATGCGACTGGCCATCGAGTTCGAAGGTGTGAGAACAATTCCAGCGGAAGATCTGCCAAGAGGGAAGGTTGCAGGTATGGTGTCTCCACTTATTGCAAACATCAGGGAAGACCAGGGTGGATCCTTGTTGGTGTTGGGAGACGCTTTTCATCTCGTAAGTCATGGTCTATCAAATTTTGAAGCAACAAAACTGCCAGACAGATCTGTTCATCTTTGAACGTCGTACCAATGTTGACATAGGACCTGCAGCGCATCACTTTGTGGAGGAAGCTGTTGCTTTCGCTGAAGCGAATCCGCGCGTCCAGCTTGGTCGTGAGGTGTGCATCCCTGAAAGATATGCAGGGCGATGCAGGGCTGGATTGTACCTCTAAAATAGTGGTGGGCTCTGTCTTATAAATCACAGCCAGGCTTATAACTTGGACAGACCCCAAGGTGGAGAACAAAGTGCAAGTGAAGAGCATCAACAGCATGGGAGAGGCACCGGGAAGGATCAGACTACAGTTATAGTTGCCACTAGCAGCCGTTTTGACATTTGAGATTATGATTGCCCATCAAGCACCGAGTACTATCGGCTTTGTTTTGTTAAGTTTGATCTCACGTTGGCAGGCAGGTGTGTGTGATGCGGCGGCTGGCTTTCAGAATATGGGGGAGGGGAGGCTCTAGGACTCTAGGATCAACAGCCACATCTAGCAGCGGTTGGTCGGCTGTGTCTTATGAGCCCCAGCAGTTCCACCAGAGTCATGTCGTCTGACGAGGATTTGCTTTTGGGGGAATACCCCGCGCCAAGCTCTCAACCCTCAATCCCAAACTCATGGACGCCCTCAGCCAAGCATCCTTTACCTTCGGCTTCATTTCATCCTGCCTGAGCGGGTCAAGTTCCTGGTTGAAAGAGCCACCTACTAAGGATAGCAAAATATTTTGCTCCGTGCTTTATGCTCCGCAGATGGGTGGTGCAATAAGCCTCTATACCTATCCCAAGTACAGTGCATCTCCTGAACAACACAAGGCAGTGATTTCACATGTCCGCTTTTCCAGGTCTCCAACCCTTCATTTATTACTCAATTTCGGTCTTACTCTCTTAATCTGGGGTTCCAGCCCCTCAGTATGGCAAACCTTGATGTTCAGAGCGGCATCCACTAGGCCATAGAGCGTGCAACCCCCAATGCGCAATGTAACAGCCTTCAAGAGAACAAGCATAGCTTACATCCACATGCAGATGCTTGTATTTGAGCTGCAGCCTGGATGGTCGTTAGGCCATACCATAATTCATTTACAGGGATACTTTCAAATCTTACCGTCTAATGTCATGTCATAAGGGTCTTTCTCCATGGCGCGGCAGCTGACACGGACTTTAGGTGGGGTTAGGGCTAGCCAGTGCTGTTGGGGGCAAGGGTCTAATATCCCATCCTGGCAAGGGGATAGGGGAGGCCTCAGATGACGAAATGTACGCCTACTTTTCTCTTGTTGTGGACGCCCCCCCCAAGTGATAAACGTAGCCCCATATGTTGTTTTTTTGTTTTCGGGGTCTTGAGGGCCTGGAAAACCTCCGAAGGAAGACATGTAGCTCCAAACATTTCTTGTTCTAAAGATTTTTGGAACTCCCCAAACACCCAAATTAAGACAGGTAGCCCATACATTTTTTAAAGGGTTTTTGGAACCCCAACACCCCCCAAAATGATAAATGTAACCCCCTACTTTTTTTTATTTCAAGGCGGTCAGGGCTAGGGTTGGGGCCACGGCTTGCGGTAAGGGGTAGGTAGGCGTCTAGAGGCCTTAAGTCCCCCAAAGAAGAAACCTAGCCCCGTACATTTCTCGTTTTGGTTTTTTGGGGGTGCGCAGCTAAGTACATTCCTTGTTTCGAGGCTTCAAACTTTGCACCTTTTACATGCTTATACTACAAGTAGCGAAGTACAGGATCCTTAGAATCCATGATAGGCGGTCAGGGAAAGAGGATAGTGAGGGGTACTGGTAGGGTAGGCGTGCAAGCAGTCCCTCCATGAACTGGAATTATTGTTATGTAGGGATTAGGAAGCTCGGAGTATTGTTGATTGTGCTCCGATATACTACAACATGCCCCCAGGCTTTTCGGCTCATGTTGGCCCCTACTTGTAGGCCACTCGTCCTGTAGGTGCTCAAGAGCGAATTCTGGGAATTGCTACGCCTGGCAGCTCGAGGAATTTGGCATGGGAATCAACTCACACAGATAGGGTTTCTCCTTGACCGCGATTTTTGTTAAGTCCTGCCACGATCTACAAGAGGATATTGCTATGGGTCATGCCGCCTTTTTGCATGACACAGTCCTTTCAGGATCCAGGATCCTTTGAAACGGGAGGCGCCTACCAGTACAACGCCATAAGAAGGTAGGAATCAGGGACCTCACCGACCGGTGGCTCTCGCATTTATTAGGAGAAGCTCTTGGAGGAAGCTCCTACAGCCAGAGATCAAAGGGTGAATAGGCTTAACTTTTGATGTGTCTTGCGCATGTCCTTCGTCTTGCAATGGCCAGGCCTCCAGTAGAAGTGCCTTGTGCTGGTGTCGCTCACTGGTTTCCGTTCAATGTCTTGATCCCTTTGCACTTGCCGTATCATCTCGATGACTGAAGCGATGATTGACAGCCATGAAATGGCATGGTCGTTTCCATTATGTCTCCCTGCGTTGCATACAGGAACAGTATATAGAGTGGCGGGCTCAATGCGTAGTACGAATGGGAAAGATACCTAATTCCCCAGAAGCCAAGTTGGTTCGCTGTCGTTCAAAGATCTGAGCGAGTCATGACATGTGAGATTCTGCAGCAATCGCCCAGGAACCAGGTTGCAACCCCCTCCTCTGAAAACCCTCCCGAGTCAACTGAATTCCCAAAGACTTGGGGAGGGAATAGGCTAGTTCCAGCACCTACATAACAGCAAAGACTTTGCGACACTCTGCCGGGTAGTAGACTTGCTGATGCTTCACTCTCAAATCTGGAGCCATTGTCCTGATGCTGCGGTTTCCTAGATACCCGCCCTTCCCCATACCCTCCGCAACTCCAAGCTCCTACGACTCGTGCATCATCCCCATATATGGCGTCCCTGTGCTTGTGTTCAAATTTTCCTTCCTCCTGTCAGTGATGAATCAGGAAGTAGGCAAGCTCCCATACTGTCCATGCATCATCCGACCATACCAGCATGAACACAGAGCCGTGCTCTTTGCCCCATTACCCCCTCATTCATGCAAACTCCCAGGTAAGCAGGGCTGACAAAGGGGCAGACTGCAGCGAGCTCCTCAGCGCCCAGGAGCCTAAAGACATAGAAGTTGTATAAGGGTGCCCAGAATTTGGGGGAGAAAGAGGAAGAGAGTTAGGCTTCGGTGATAAGAGTTCGGGGAGCCTCCTACAGCAACACCTGGAAAGTTAGAGGCTACAGACATTAGTCCTCAGCACTCTATGCATTAAAGACATTAATACCTTAAATCCCACGCCCCAGAAGCCTCAGGAGCTTGAGAAGCTGCTCTCCCAGCAGATATCAGCACGGCTGCAGTGGCTCGGTCTTTCGTGGCTTAAGGCTTCAGATTCTGGAGGTGTTTCTCAAGTGGATCCTTATCAAAGGCACTCCAAAAAGGGACCAAGTGAGAGGGGAGATTCCTACTCATGTTCAGGCCTATTACAGGGCCTCAAGGTCACAGGAGAGTACTCCCCACCAAACGAACATGCAGGGACAAGGTTTGGGTTGATACTTCCTCGCCGCTTGGGTTGTTCGTGCAAACCAAGTCTAGAAACACCTGGTTTGCATGTGTGGTCAAATTGTAACGGGTGAATCCTACACTCTTAGACTCTTTAACTTTAACTGAGTGGCCCAAACGCGTGCCAGGTGGGCTGCCGAGGCCTGTGCTTCCGGAGTCTTGGTGCTTTCTTTTCGGGGAAGGGCTTCTGCGCGTGCAAGGTCTTGTGATCCAGGCTTGGTTTTTTGGAGTTTACAGGTTAGAGGGTTTGGGCAGACTCTTTTTGTGAAGTTTGCACTGCCAGAATTTACAGGGCGGTGAACGGATACTGCTCATGGTTTCTGCCTACTCCTGCGAGGATTTGCAACATAATTTCGGCGATTTCTCCTCATGCTCGCTACTGTACTGTACAAACTACTCCCGGGGTTTAGGGTGTTCATCAGGACTTTTATTTGAATCAAAGCGGCGAAAACCAAGGCAGAATCAGTTGGATACTACACCTTTTCCGCTCTCCAATGTTGCCATCTAGCAGGTATGTCCTTCCCAGATGTTTGTTTATGTGCCATCTCGTTCCATGCTGCAAGGAGAAGAAACGGTGGCGGAGGGCCTAACAACCTCTGATGCTGTGCTACTGGGTGTATGTTGAGGATTTGGTGTAGTGCAAGCACAAGCACATCTTGTCATTAACTCGGGGTCCTACCTCTTAAAACTAAAGTGAAGCCTTCTGACAGCTGCCCAGACGATACGCCCTCTTCGTTGCAGCGGGGCTCATTTCAGCAGCAAAGAACCAGACTGGAGGGGCAGAGGCTGAAGAAGAGCATGCATCAGGCGCGAGTTCATTGTCGCCCGTCGCTGGAGGGTTAGACGCCAAAAGTCTCAGTCCTATTTCTTCTCAGACCTATGTCTTGAAACCGAACCCTAACAAATCCTGAAAAACTCCGAACCTTCAACCCTCGGGCATATGAACCTACATGCGCTCGGCCTTGCAAGTCAGCAGGGGCAGCTCGCTTGGCGTCAGTAGCCCTGGGTGCGGTGGACACGAATCTGGAAACTCTGGTGGCCTGGTATTGCCAGGATGCCAGGGCTTAAGCAAAAAGAATCTCAGGGACAAGAGCGAAACCTGTTCGAGTCAGGGGTGCTTTGATCTGGGCGTTTCTTCCAATCAAGGAGGAAGTGAATACTACTCAGGGTGTTTTCCATTCCCAGAGCCCAAAACACTACAACCGGAACGCCAAGCCGCTAAGGAAGTTAAGTCCTTAACCCAAATCCGAATCCTTGAGCCCAACCCCTGTGCCCAACAATACCACGCCTCAAACTTTTAACCGTAACCTCAGACCGCAAAAGGAGCTTCAGCTGCCCTCAGAGTGGAGACTCCTGGACTTGTTGAAGCAGGGCCTAGCCGGTGGCGGTGGCTTGGGCTTAACATGAATCTTGGGTTGCCATGGCTGCAAAACAAAATAGATGCGCGCAAACGCTTTATTGCTGCGCGAAAGCGGAATTTTGCCTTCTATTCTTTTTTCCTGAAATTCGCCCAGTGCATATCCAGTGAGTCCAACGCCATTCACGTGATAAAGCCTGCTTGGACATTTGATTTTGCATGATTTTTGTGTGGAAAAGCAATTCCACACTGCGAATTGCCAGCAGCACTTCTGCTCCCCTGTCACAGGCCTCACTGCTTTAAGGAGCCTTTGCGAAAAGACTGGCACAATAAATTTTACGACATTGATCAGAAATTATGCGTCATGCACCGCCTGATATGTGCCAACCTGGATGGCCTAGTGCCGATGGCACAATGTTGCTGCACAAATATCTGTCTGCTATTGGTTGTGGTATACTATTCTTTATTCCAAGTGCCAACATGAGTTTGGCTGTAACACCCTGGAACGACACTGACTCTCAATAGTCCGCAATGCAGTGGCTGGGGCGTAGGGTTGAATTTAAGGGTGCAAGGTTGGGTGGGTTGAGTGGGCCATGGGTTATGATCAAAGGGCCCACGTTTAGACTTTTGACTCAAGGCATTTCAGTTTGACATTCTGAGGAGTGATCCATGTCTAAACTTTCGCCTATACTATGAAATTCAAGCGCTTTTATCATGTTGTTCCGACTTTGGAGGATGATAGTCCTGAGCAGTGCAGGTGGAGGTGTGAGCGACATTGTCTTTTCTGCAGGGGACATTGTCATCAAGAAGACCCTTCAACCAGACCACCCTCAGTTCAAGTGGCTGCGCGGCCATTCTTGGAGAAAGCTTTGCTTGAGCCATCTGAGGTGTCCTTAACTCCCCATGAGTCAAAATACATGACCCGGAACGTAAACTCTGGCCCTAAACCCCAATCCGTGGTGGTCAGAATCCAAGCCGTCATCCAGGCTGCAAGGCCTCTTTGAGCAAACCTTCCTGGGAATCTACACACGAGATCGCAAGGGTGAGGACGTTCCGAAATCGCCATGTACTTCAAAAACAGGAGCCTTTTAGCTAGTTTTCCTTTCATCTGTATTCCAAATGCTGTTGCTTGAAACTTTCTCTTGGCCTGTTGCCGTGAAGCGGAGGTTAGAAGTCCGTGAGGTGGAGCAAGTTTACAACTGTGGGAGCTGGGGGGAGTATGCCCGCCGACGGCAACAAGTCTTGCAGGAGATGAGCAAGGGAGGTGCCATCCAAACGGGCGGGCTAAAAGCTGTACTAATAGTCATAGTGGATAGTGATTCCCATGGAAACTGTCGAGCTCCCAAACACAATATTGTAGAAGAAGGGTCCAAAGTACGTAACTACAGTTTTTCGTTGCACGAACAAGTTTTTTTTTTAACGAACTGCATGTGAATTGCACTCTGAAATCTGGAGCCCTGTTCGCTGTCCTGCACAAGCACTTAGGATGACAATTCAATCAGAAAAGCTTGCGTTGGACAACTCAATGACTCTCAGCCAGCCAAAATCCCGTCGCGCACGAATATTCGCCCTGTAAACAGCTTAAGTGCAATGAGCACCCATCACAACCCGAAGTCTTTGAGTGCACAGGTGCCTCTTGGGTGGGCGAGTTGAAGACGGACAAGTGCACACAGGGCGAACAGCCCAATTGGCACTTGACAGGGGCGGAACTAGGCCAGGGCGGCAAGCAAGTTTTGCATATCTATATCTAGATACACATCTCTACGTAGAGCTATTACCAGAACCACAACAAGGGCTTTAACTGCAGTTGTCAGGAGGCCGGCCTCCCAAGCAGCGTGTTGTTTGTCGCATTCCTATGTACGTCATGCCGTTTTTGGTCCTTTTTGCTGGGGTGGTTTAGTAACCGTTTAGAAAGTTAAGACTAAGATTTTGTTGGAAGCCAGGTGCCAATGAACACTGGTTATATCATGGCACGTCGTTGGCCGGCGAAGCGGGAATTACAGAAGGCGATTTTCGTTTGAATCTTGCGGGCAGCAATGCTGGAACGCTGTATGGTGCGGAGCTTAGGGCTCAGTCAATCACGGCTATAACGTGCCAGTATACCAGTCACGTATCTACCTAGAAGGCTGTGTCGCAAAAGGCTTCTCACAGTCCTGCCGTCACCCCGTGGACAAATCTGCTTGGCAGCTGCTTCTTGCAAGAACCCAGGTAATGGTGTGTATCTGGCGGAGGCACAACACATCATGCCAAAATCCAGACTGCAGAAAACGAGACTGAACTTGTTGTTTTCCTTCGAAGTTGAAGAATGAGCACGAGATGCAGGATCCCCTGCTGCACTGCCGGCTGCCCTGGCAGGCTGTGTCCAAGAGCGATGAATACACCACGCCACAGCCAAGTGGCCTGCGCAGTATGCTGATTTGCTTGAGCACCCTTGGTAGAGTGTATCTTGTCTGATAGTGGACGGTACTCTTAGGTATTGGGTGAGTGTTGACCGTATAATGATCCTGTAGAGATTGAGCTTAAAGCTCGAGAAAGAGAATGCCCCATCTTCTTCGAGTTGACTACAACTCAGGAATTACAACGATCAGAAGCGCCCTGATGGCGATGAGCTGGCGGCGTCGTGCAAGGGTGGGGGCTTCCATAGCATCCTTGGTGACAGGGATGCTTTTCCAGCAATCTTAAGGTCTCCTACGATGGGAGATTCACCCGAAGTTTGCCAGGGTTAGGGCGTGGATTTTCGTGGCGTTGCTTCTCAAGCCGTAGATCATGAAATCTCAAATCTGGCAGAAATTCCATGATGAATTTGTGCCCGCCACCCTAGTTGATAGCTCTTTGCAGCGTGTTGCTTGGGTTTTGGGTTGAGGGCTTAGGTTGCCAGGAATTTAGGAAATTCGGCGGCCAAGTGAGCACACGTGTATCTTTTTACCATGAACTCAGTTTGCACCCTCAAGCCCTTAATTGTGAACTCGTGGACATTCTGAAGCACGATAAGCATCCCGCTATGCATAGTTGATTATGTCAACCCTTGGGACTGCCAAGGAAAAAATCCGCGGTACGCAGCTCGACTCTGGAAGAGTTTTGGCATCGGTCCTGTAAATAAACTAGCAAGCTCCCAGAAAAGTTCAAACTCATAGGATTTCACCAATCAGTGCTTATCGTGCACCTGCAGGCTTCCGCACTGGCATTCAGGATCACCACGAAATCCTTGATTTTGTCTTTCATCATGGCTTTGGCGGGTTCAGGGCAGCTGGTGATGGGGAACTTATCAATCTTGAGAGTTATTTCAGCTGGTGAATGCAGCGCGCTATTCTCCGAACAAGTCCCCTCAATGCTGGCGCCTGGGTTGGCATACAGGGCTCAGGTTGGAGAAAGGCCTATAGTGGGGGTGGATTTTACTCTGGGCTATGTACCTTGCACATCGGATAATAATGAGTGCTATGCTGAGAATTGCCATTCTGATTGTGAGGTACCGTGAGATTGTCGTATTTGACGAAGACCAGGTGTACCCGGCGTACATTTGTCGCTACCAGCGCGTAACGTGAAATTCAGCATCTGTCAGTCTCACCTGTGTTTGTGGAGAAATCTGAAACCACCGTATCTTCCAAGATGACCTGAAATGCTTTCGAGCTGAAACCTATGGTGCAATCCACAAGCTGAAGCATTTATCGTGTGCACCCACGATCAACTGATGTGCCAGAGGTGATTGGGATCTCTAAAGGAGATCTGCCAAGGAGATCTGGCACATGGATGTGGTCCGAGCGTGACTTGCACAAGGCTTGCACTCCAAAGAGCAATTTGCAAGCTGTTGCGGGCGCCAGAAAACAGATACAGCACTGCACATGCCATGAGATGGTGGCTAGACTTTGCACCTCTCTGTTGCCAATCGAATATTCGCATGTCCGCCAGCTGTTGCGAGCCAAAAAACAGTGCTACGGGTTTGTTTAGTTGTTCCGAGCGCCTCGGAAGGATGGACCCCATTGCAAGGGGGTCTGCTGGCTTGGCTGAGCCCATTAGCGGCATTAGCGTGGCCGTCAGTGGACCTTCTGGCCACCTGTGCACAGTGCATGCCTGCAAGTCATGGAGCCTGCGGAGCCTGAAGGAAGCCATTCAGGCCTGCTCAGACTACAGTGAAGCAGTGAAGCTTGATGAAGGCATCACATGCAGCCTTCCCTAAAGATGCAATGCTGCCTGATCATCTCGCTGCTACTGCTTCTACAACCAAAGCTTGTGCTGCTGCTCATCCAGCTCCCCTTCCTCCTGATCCCGGTGACAATGCTCCAAATAGTTGTGATGCTAATGGCGGCAGTACAGGCACACACCTCCAGTAGGCCTACCGCCATGTCTGCCTTTGAGACTTTGAGAGCTGCTTTGATGTCATCACACCTGTGAGGACGATCAAGGAATTGCCTGGCGCCAACAGCGCTTGATCCATGGTTTGCGCAACTTGACCCCTTTCGTGCGAGCGCTAATTCATTTGTTGATTGGGGCAAATATGCGTAATGTACGGAGTACATGAGGATTTTGCGGGGATTCAGAGGTTTCAGGGTGTTTCAAGCCCGTCGTGAGAAGGTTTTTGAGATACGGCATGATATGGCCAAGAGAGCTAAGAGTGGGTTGGTCACTGCTATGAGTCAACAAGTAGTGTCGCGCGCAGCCAGGCTTCTGTTGTTTTTGGGTATGCCCATTCAAAGTTGAAGGGTTCTTCACTGTTCTCAGTGGAAAACATATTCCCAGCCCGCAGAAACCCTGCGAGCACGTTTGCCCCCTGATCAACCCTTTTTTTTCTTGGGGCGTTCCTTCAGGCAGACCAACTAATGCTTGTCAGCCAGGGGTCTGACATCATCCAGCCTCATGACATAGCTGTCAGTGAGGATGTGCTAAAGCATCGTGCAAGCTTGAGAGCATTGGGGGTCTTGCTTGTCACAAAACTTGCATTTCATGGATTGTCGCCACTTGAGGGCACATTCTGCTCAATGCACCAAGTGGAGATGCATAGGACAACTCCTCTGCAATATATATACATATGTATATACATATGACACCGCGCATGCTTGGCGTGCTTCGTCCATCAACTGTTCTGCCAGCCCCTGCTTTGAGAAGGGTGAAGGCCTTGTCTTAAAATGGAAAGGGGCCCTCCCCAAATCCATGATCCACCCCTCAACAACTCTTCATGCTTCGCGGTTATGAAGCCGAATTTTGAAGTAGGACCCATGCCAGGAGCCAAGCTTTGGAAACCAGTGCTTAGGGCCTAGGAAGCCGTGAGCTGAAATTGCGATCGAGGCGAATTAAGCGACACCAGTGTTCTCGGCGACCTGACTACAGATGCTACGATGCAAGGGCTTGCCTGAATCGGGTTTTGAGTGCTTTGTTGTTGGCTACTTGACGTTCCCAATGTCCGTATCAAACGTATCTACTAAGCCTTCAAACCTAGGTACAAATTTCTGGCTTTCATGATCAGGAGCCCAGGCCAGGAGTTGAATGGGTTCTGAGCCTTGGGGGTACCAACCGGGTCCTTCAAAAGTTGAGGACAGGTGCGTCGGTGCGTATGTCTTGTATTTGGAGGTCACTTATTTAATGCAACGAGCTCTATCCAGGCTGCTTCCGCCGGAGACAGAGCGAAAACAGAGAAAGCGCTAGATCCACGCTGCGTGTATGCCTAGGACCCCAAGCCGACTAAAGCCTACATTCAAGGATGGGCTGCTAGAGCTCACGCTGGTGCGTCGTTCCCTGGAGCAGCTGGAGTGGCTGCGACTTGCAGAAGAGGAGGGCTTTAGACTTTAGAGCCTGCCCTAAACGCTCAATCCTTTGAGCCGTGGGCACCGGAGGGAGAGAGAGTTTCAGGGTGGTTTCACAGCATATCCAAGCCGCAGATTCATTGTGAAATTTAGGTCTAGGTCTTAGCCTCAATCACGAGGATGCCAGGCCTGGTGTTAGAGTGTGTGTTTTTTTCGAGTTGAGGGTTTACATGGATTATGCCTTGGGACTCTGACCAGGGATGTTTTCTGTTAGTGCAGATGCACCAGAGCTATCTTGATTGGGCTCTGTAGTCACAATTCTTCTTGAAGACGATGACGCACAATTCTCTCCAGCCATTCTGTCCTCTTTGGAGCTTCCCTTGCATTTTCGTATGCAGGACTGGACCGAGCTGCTTTGCCAGCCGGAGGAAGTATGGTCAGACAGAGAGGCCACTGAGGGTGTAGGTTGACAGTTATGGAATATTAGGCATCACGGTAACGCGTACGGACGGGCTCTGCAACTTTCCAGATTTTCTTTGCTCATTGATGCTAGAGCTGCTTCGAGTTCAGGCTGATGGTGGGATAAAGGGGCATCGGGTTTCACGGCACTTAGCGAGCGAGTACTCCAAAAAAAGTAGTTGACACAAGGGCAGTGAAAAATCTGAGGGGCAACATAAGCCGAGAAGGGAGGTTCTGCTTTAGCAGCAATTTCTTGAAACTGCCGTGCAGGAAGCAATTGTGCGCTCGAGCCTGCCCTTGCTGCTTATTGAACAGTGTTTCTAGGCTTACTGGGTTCGCCCATGTTCGCCCTGCCCCAGGTCGTCTTGAAGGCAGTGGAAACTGGGCTGCTCAGGAAGGTTTGTGTTACCGGCTGCTGGTTGGTTTGGTCTCAGGGTTTCGGATGTAGGGGTTTTAAGGGCTCTGGCTACAGCGAAGGAAAGCTCTGGGTGGGCACTGCAATATGCGGCAGCAGATCTCCAAGCTGACCGGGAGGTGGTACAAAGAGCTGCGCCTGAGCACTTTTGGAGTCTAGGGCTTAGGGCTTAGGGTTGTCAGCTGCGCTTTAGGGTGAAGGGTTTAGTCACGTTTTAGGATTTGACGGCTTAAGGTTTTGCCATGCCATGTGACATGTGCAAGGGAGGAGCTGCCGGCCTCCTACTTTTGCATGGGCCAACGATGTTGAACGGCTTGCTCAATTTCTCCCAGTCGTTCAGTTCACTTTTCTCTCGTTGTCCAACTTTGAAGTTCAGCTGATTCTTGGGAATAAGTTGCGGTTGAAGTGAGAGAGACGCCCAGGTGCAGCAAAATGGTTTGGCTCTGAAGTTTGCCGATTCAAATTTGGCAGCCGACGTACAGGTTGCCTTGGCAGCGGTGTCGCAATGCGGACGCGCGTTGCCGGGTCGTTGTTGAGCAGCATCAAACGCTTCCATGGATCCTGAACCGAACTCCAACTGACATGGGGCAAGAAAAACCCATGATCGAACAAGGTATGCAAATGGGGTCGTCTCAAAGCCTTGGTCCAATAGGCCTCCTTGTCTTCGGTGGCACGCAAAGAAGATGCGTAGAAGTAACTGTTTTGTCCTTACCTCAATGTTGGACATCCCGCTTCTGCCTGCCCTTGCCACTGGTAAAGATTGAGTACTTTGGCGTGCTTTTTCTCACTGCCAGGATAATAAGTACCCATCTTAACGTTCAATCCCGTAAAGAACAGCTCGAAGAATCGTCCAGGTTTCAGTACTGTGCTGAGCAGCTGAAAGAGGACCGTGCTTTCGTACTGTCGGCGGTGAAAGCCAACGGCCACACTCTGAAGTGCCTGCTCTTTATTGCGCAAAATGTTTCAGTCAAGGTTCCAATACTGAAGCATATTGGCTAGACAGGTTTCCTTTGGCTGGATTTTCAGAAGGCTTCCGCGGGTACTGAGGGCAAAGGTGACAAGGTGATGCCTTTGGAAAGGTGGGAAACAGGATGACGATGTTGACAATAAAAATGGCATACTGTTGTTCGCTCCATTGTATTAGGCAATCTGTAAACCCTGCAGACCTGAAGGTTTACCATGGACCCAGGTACGTTGCTGAGCAGCTGCAAGATGAAGAGATCGTTCATGCGGCAGTGGACCAGTGGCATGGCGGCATCGAAATCTACTTGCGCGTCCATGTTGGATGGTAGGCAGCAGAAGTTCCTTTTTTTTTTGGAATCTCTTGCGGAAGCTGGAGCTTGATGTCGTTTCGACCCGGAGCAGTTTTGCCTTGTGCGAACATGCTACCCGATGCTCTTGCAAGGTTTGTCAGCCGGCCCCCACTTTCACCATCCCAGACCCCAGATAGGCATCATCATTTGAGTCGCGGAACGTAATTTCTTTCTAGCAGTGTCCCATGTCCAGGGCCCATCCTCATCTATTGGCCCTACACCACAGACTAGCCTGAGATCCACATCACCAAAAGCCAAGCTCAACGCTTGCGCATGCTTGCGCTGCAACAGAACGTTGTGACTGTTGAGTGCCGCTTAGTAGAAGACTTTTAGCATCAGCTTCCTTGAGCTCAGAACAGCAACTTCCCAGCTTGTGCCTCGCGCCAAACCGTTGAGAGAACCTTACCGGCAGGAAACCCTATCCAACTGTGTTCCCTGTAGAGTGGTGACAGTTCCATCCATCCTACAGCGGTCTCTGTAGTAGGGGTGCCTGACATTGCAATGCAGGCCTGTTGGTAGTCTTTTCTGCGCCGCCTGAGCCATGCAAGTGGCAAGTGGCAAATAATATTGCAAACTAGACTAGACGCCTAAGCCCTTCTTTGGCGACAATCCACTAATTTGACCTGCCAAGGAATCAAAGCATGGAATCAGTAAAAACGAGTCACAAGTGCCCAGCCCAAGATGCGGACATGCGCTCGGGGACATCCTCGACAATGGCGCGTCCGGTCCTTCAGTTCAGCGCCGCATCCGCCACATCTTGCAGCCGGGGCAGATTTAATGTTTAACCTACGTCTTGTGCAAAACATCATAAGGTGTTCGGACAGCACTTCTGGAAGCATAGAAAACTTCCACATATATTGTTGTTTCCAAAGTTAGTGGCCCGTCGTTGTGCTCGGAGAGTGGGGCCCAAATATGGCAAAATTGTCCTAATATCCCATTCACAAGAGATTTGTTTTAAGGAATTGCCGCACATACAGGGTAGCAGGGTCTCGAAAATCCCTCTGCAGTGAGGCAGAACAAGAGCGTCCTGGGGTTCGAGGAAGATGGCCCAGCCGCCCCAAAGGCAGCTCTTCGGCTCTTCTCACCTTAGGGAGGGCAGCTTACTGGTGCTTGGGATGGGAGAGTGAAGAGAGATAGCAGCACAGGTCTAGTCTAGTTTAGCGATCAACGTGTACACATACAGAGGTATAGATGCTGGTTGGGTCCGCTTTTACATCTCCTCTTGTACCAGTGATGAGGGTTCGGTGTGTCAGAGATTCGGGTTGCGGAGGAATGCAAGGATGTCGAAGCGCAAAAGCCAGACGATCAAGAACGGCAGAAGGTAATGACATGGCTTAGAGTATGTCATGGTCATAGTTACCTATTTGTGGGATTTTCGGCAGTTGTACAAGGCCTTCGTCCTATTGAACCTCGAAGCCTATCCTTGGTTCAGCGTTGTTGTGAGCTGTCGTGTCATCATGATAATATCATCACTTGTCCTCCTCCTAGCACCCGGCGCCGTATTGCTTTTAAAGAAGGCAGCACCTCCTGCAGAGTCTGGCGAGAGCATGGCATGCTTTTTCAGCAGTGGCCACTCCGAGGGCCATTTGGGACGCTGGGCTGGGTTGCGATGTTTCGGGGTTAGGGTGACTAGGTGAATAGGGCTCAGCGGTCTGTATTGGATTTTTTGTCGGGGGCGTTTATACTTGGGGCTTATAGTTTTCGAGATGTTATTCGGCAACACAGTAGTCACTGTAGTAGGTTCAGTAGTTCTGCTCAGCCCCAAACTTTTTGCGGCGTTGCAAGGGAAAGGGGTTGTAGGCATGTTGTAACCAGACCATGAAGTTGGCAATAAATCTTCGCCTCATCTTGAAGAGGCTTGAAGAGGCTGTATCCATGTGATCCTCCTCACAGTATGTATTTTTCAGCCCCCCACCCGCCTGAAGCATCAGCACGGAGTCCCCAGAATCCGGTTGAGGCCTGGCCAAAAAGCTGGGATGGCAGGCTGCGCAACTGTGTGTCTTGGCCATGAGTTCCCTTTAAGCTCGAAGATCGGAGTTCCATGGCCACTGCGGGTATTGCACGGGTACTAGAATGTGTCTGTAAGAGCCTTATCCTGGTGTTGTTCGAGTTGCTCTCGATACGAGGCCTTTGGGGGTCATAGGGCTGGACAACTTGTATGTATTGATACGTATGTTTGGATGATGATTCGGATTGTGCTGATGCTGATATTGTTGTTGATGGGATGCGTATCAAAAAAACTTTTCCGGATCAAAAAACAATTGCCGAATCAAAAACACTTTCCGCTGGAAGTATGACCAGAAAAGGCAAGCGTATGGGAAGGACAGAAGGAAGGAAGGTAGATCAAAAAAACAACTTTTTCGGATCAACAAACAACTTCCCGCGTGAAATACAGACACAGAAAGCAACAGGGTGGAAAGGAAGGAAGGAACAAGGGAAGGAAGGAAGGAAAGGAAGGAAAGAAGGAAGGAAGAAACGAAGGGCGGAAGGAAGGAACCAAGGCACGAACCAAGGAACGAACCAAGAGGGGAAGGAATGAAGGAAGGAACAAACAAACGAAGGAAAGAAGAAAGGGAAGGAAGGAAGCTTTCTTCGCAGCTCAGGTATCTTTGGGGCCTTGCTGGGTATGTGTGGAAGTAGTTTATGAACGGATTTGAACCCCCCCCAACAGTGGAGAATCAAGTGTAAAAAGCTGGAACATCAAATGGAAACAGGCTTATATCGGGGTTTAGCGCGGATAGCTCTGAATATTTCATTGGTTGCCCTAGATGCTGAATGCTCTATACAGCCACAGAAATACATAATTGGACAATGACCCATGATCCCTCTTGATCCCTAAATGGTTCCTGTAAAATCCATAGACATCTTCAGACGTCCGCAAACCTACCCTAGCAGCCGGGAGCTACTGGGACCACATGCGCCAGGGTAAAGCATTTGGTTTGCAAATGGGAGTGGGGTTCGCCTCGCCCAAGCCCCCCCCGTTTTCAAGGCGATCCATGATTGCAAGAATTGACGAGTATCGTGTCGTCACCATGGCCGTCAGGAAAGGCTGTGTTTGCACTAGGGGGGAGGGGGAGGCTGTGCCTCTCATTTTGTTTGCAGATTGGGGGGGGGGCTGCACCCCCCTCAACCCCCCCGCATTTTCAAGGCCATCGCCATCCATGAGTATAGTGTCGTCACCATGTTGGCAGTGAGGGAAATCTGTGCTCGCACTAGGGGGAGGCTGTGCCAGCCATTTTGTGTGCAAATGGGGGGGGCTGCGCCCCCACCAACCCCCCCCCGCTTGTTTAAGGCGATCCATGATTGCAGGACATGACATGTATCGTGTCGTCACTGTTGGCAGTCAGGGAAGGCTAACTTTTTCAAGCTCCAAGAGGATCTGAGGGTCTCGACGACAGTTACCAGCATTGTGACCCCGACCCCCGCGATCCCTGTGACAATTGGTACTTTTTTAAAAGTCCGAAGGGTTCTGAGGGGCTAAAGCAGGATCGTGTGACTGCTAACGCTTTTCAAGCTCCGAGGGTTTCAAAGCGACGACAGTTACGGGGATTGCGACCCCGACCCACTCGATCCCTGTGACAGTTGACACTTTCTAAATATCTGAGATATGCTGAGGGGCTAATGCGACGGCAGCTACGAAGATCGTGGCCTCGACCCCCGCAAAATCTGAGGGGTTCTGAGGGGCTAAAAGAAAAGACAGTTGGGAGGATAACGACCTAAACTCCTACGATCCTTGTCAGGGTTCCTAATTTTTCAAAAAAAGTTTCTTTCTGATCGGATTTTTTTTGATGGCCGGAGCAATCCAAAAGCGAGGACAGTTCCGCATTTTGCGACCATAACGTTTTTTGATCTCGGATCAGCAAAAAGTTATTTTGATCTTTTGGGGTTCCGGGTCTAGGCATTGCGGTTGACAGCTTACAGGGTCAGGATTTAGAACATGTGTTTAGGTTGTGGCTTCGTGTCATGTTTGCTCCGGAGGATGTCTGCTCGTCGTTTAAAGCGTCATTCTTCTGGGTCGATTCTTACTCCCAATCTCCATGTTAGAGTACTGCAATCTCAGTGGGAGGACACGATTCTCATCTCAGCATGTCTGCAAGTCGCACCTTCTCAGGTGAGATGGCGAATCTGGGCCTCCCGGTGCCTTGGTCCTTGTCAGGCAGGTTCTTGTGTTTGCTGGCCATGAGCAGCTAAGTAGACTTCAGACAGCTACCTGAAAGCTTCAAGTGCTCAATGGGATTTGTTTCTCTGTCAGAGTTCCAACCGCCAAGATTACTTCTCACTTTTTTCCTAGCTGCCTGTAATTGCCAAAGCTCTGCAAAAAGCACCTTGCTTAAAGGAGCTCAGCGATTGCAACGCGCTGTACCTGCGGTTCTTAGTCAGGAAAGGTACTGCGCGAGACTGACGGCTGAGCATTGATTGTAGATGCCAACTATGTTTTAACTGGCCCGCCCTGTCCAAGTAAAGGAAACGCTTGCTTGAAGCAAGACCCTGTGTCAGCATCCCAATGTCGCGCCAAGTCCCGCGCTAAATCACGTAGATCCTCAGCTCAGCGAATTGAATAAATCTACCCAAATCCAGGCTGCAAATCCTCAGAGCCATGTTCTAAGTAAACATTACCCATCATCCAAAAAACTACCTGAACCTCTAATTGCTCTAAACGCCGACTCCCCGAAACACTTCAGGCGCAACAAGCCTGTAGCCCAGATGAAGTCTGCCACATAAGCTCTATACACTACACTCCGTAAGTAGTTTGGAATGCTGCCGTGCGAGCCCTGCAAACTCTACATATCGCTAGTTGCCATATTGGGATCCAGGATTCTAACCATTTCCAGCCTAGTATACCACGGCCTATACTGTATTCTGGTATCCCAATACAGGTGCATCCTGTGACCATCGCCCATATGGCGGGGTCGGCCCTCCAAATGCTCTGAGCTGATCAGGTGCCTCCGGGCTTCTGCTTGAAGCCAGGCCCAGAACCTTGGTCAAGCGCAAAGATGGCTTTGAACCAGGCGGCATTGGGGGCCTCCAGGTAACTCATGAAGGTTGTACTGGGATCATGAATAGGATAGGTAGAAATGTCCAAGGTTTTTGGGATCCTGGTTCTGCATCGGAGGCTTGTCAGGAAGTTCAGGAAGTCTTACAAGTACAGTCTTACCACTGAGTTGGAGAAGGCTTTTGGAGCTTCATCGGAGGCCATACAGCCGGTTCTTGTGGGTGCAAGATGAAGTTGATGGGGCCGAGTTGCAACATTTTTGACTATGAGTGCTCCCTTTACTCAAACGGTGCAAATTGTACTTTCGAAGCCCGCCCCAAGTCGTACCTTGTTTGCTCCCCTTATCCTCCTCAAGCACTTCGCGAGGTGGAGACCGTCATGCAGCAGGAGCTGGGAAATCGGGAAGCTCCATTGCTGCTCTCGGTGCGAAATTCCGACTGTGAGGTGGCTAGGGACGAAATTCCGTGCCCCAATGCTGAAGCCCATTCCCTCTCATTCTGATGCTCCCTATCTTGTGCTGGCATGATCTTGGAAAGTTGCGGAGGAAAAGGATGGGGCGCCCGAAGCTGTGCAATTATTGCCTTGAGGTCTCCAGCATTGGGCTAAGCGACGAGATTGCCGAGCAACTTGCATCCCGCCAGAACCCGAACCTGGGTGCAGGTTTCAGCATTGGTTAGTTCGTGCTAGCTGCCTACTCACCTCCATATACAAACTTGATACTTCAAACTTTTGTATGTTGTGCAAGTAGTTGGAGCTGTGAAGAGACTGAAAAACAGGAACTGCGTCTGGGACTCCTATCGACGATGCTGGGCTCCATTGTCAAAATTCTGAATCCCCGCTTGGTGTTTGTAAGGCCTACGTACCTTAGGTGTGCATCGGGCTTTAGCGAAGTGTTTCAATGGCCGTTGAAAATTGTAGGGCCTGTCTGGGGTCCTATACTGACGGAAGGCTTCCTGTACGCTTATGAAATCCCGGGCGTAGTGACTCGAGCTTGGCGAGTGCATCAGCTTTTGGTGCAGGTAACAATGAGTACCTGTTGAGTGGATTTTTACACTCGCGACCAATTTGTGATTTCCTCTTACAAAGCAACTAACCATTGCGTCAGTAGAACGTGGTGGCTGGTCGATGATGGTGCCATGTCCTTCCCTGCCTTCAGAACAGCTAGCCGTCATGTTAACAGCACGTGGTGGCTGGTTGCAGTTTCAGTTGCGCAAGCAGGCTTTCCAGCCCGTGCCTCAAAAAGGAGACTCTATAAGGAAATGGTCGCGAAAGGGTTTGGGATCCAGTTTGCTGGCTGACGTTTGCTGCAGGAGGTTGCAGGTCCTGCCATCTCTTAAAATGGGAGCCAGACGTGGCCAGACATGGTAATCTTGCTGCAAGGCCCGCGCAAAGAAGGTTGTCTTGGGACTAGCACTGAAAGAGATCATAAGTCGCAGCGTAGCTGACGACTCTTAAGCCGCCGCACGAGGTTTTCAACATGGCTTGCAGGGTTCCTTGTATTGGGTGGAAACTTCGCGGACCTTGTCCTGCTACATGGGAACCTGGGAACCTAGGACTCATTGTGTCCTATGCCCAAGTGGTCCACAATCTTGACGCCGCACCTTTTGAGCAAGAGCTCGAACGGGTGACAGATGCCTTGAACGCGAGAGATCGGCTGGGACGAAAGCACGAAGTTTGGCAAATTCCAACGAAGCTCGGCCTTGGTGTCATTTCGCGGCGTGTCATCGTTTGAAGCCTTCAGTCTTGGGCATCTTCTAAGTGCAGTGCTCATTTTCTGATCAGCCTGAAACACTACGTGCACACTGGCTCTGAAACCAAAATTGTTTCCTGAGTGTTTAACGAGCAGTGCAGGAACGATCTGCAGCAGCTGGTTGAGACTGGGCTGTCGTTGTAGAAGGCTTTGCCCTAAAGAGGGATTTGGAAGGATTTCGTTGGGATGCATCAGGGCTCAGACATGCTTCACAGGGTTCTGGGTCTGGGGGCTTGGGGACGAGGCAGTACTCACATTGAGGCTCATGTCCTTACAGAGACCGAAAGGGCGACACTGATTTTGAACCACCCGATAAGATCATTAGGGGCCATGGCAGCAATGACCCAGGAGACCTACAAAGACATCTACCAACAGCAGACCGGTGATGCATTTCCACAAGATCCGAGCGTCCAACTGCAGAAGGCTTTTTGCTGTCTTATGGTGCTCATGGTTCAGTTCATGGTGCAGGGATTGTTTTCTCCTTCCCTTGATCTATACTTATGTAGGTGCTTAGAGCCCTTAGGTTGCAGATGATCATGCTCGACACTGCCCTAACGATGCCACAGTTGTTACCGAGATGAACAAGAGAGGACTCATGACTTAGCAGCCTTTGACAGCCTGCATCTTGAGTAACACAGGTTTTCGAGGAAAGTGTGGGGAATTCTTTCTGGGCTTTAGAGCGACCCATCCAAGGCAACCCAAGATAAAATCCTTATACCCCCGCAGGGGGATCCAACATTTGCCCGGAAAAGGCCATGGAGGCAGTTCATGGCGTGCAAGCAGATCCCGCAGAGTCTGGCGCAGCGATCGTTCAAGCCATGGTCTTTGGGAACTACGACTTTCGGCGTTCCACAGGTTCAAAGTTCACGGTTGCAGCTTTTAGGGTGTTTTCCAGGCGTAAACAAACATCTTTTTGAAGCTTCAAAGCTTTCATGTTGCTGTGTGCGATGAGTCTCAGCACTGATTTGATGGTTTGCAGCTTCCATTTTTGGCTGGGCTCTGGCAAGCAAGGACTTCCAGTCTGGAGCTGGGAAGCTCATGCTCCAGAATGCAGATGGCACCCTACGTTTGCATTCAAAGCCTGCTCGCAAAGTTTCCCCTTTGTCTTGAACAGCTGCGAGCCTAAAGCTTTGCTCTGTTGGGGGAGAAGGCTTCTCAAAGAAAACCCCTGTATGCCATTCTTTGTACGATCACGTTCCCGTCTGAGCTCCCACATAGTCCTTAGGGCCCTCAGGCTGCAGGAAACTCTTAACCCTAAAACATATCCTAAACAAATCATACGTCCCAAACAATGCTAAGCCCTGCTTTGCCATCCTTCAATGGACATTTGAAAGTGAGGTACTCCTTGCGACTTCTCGGGCACCTGGCTTCCAAAGGCCCAGCGTGAGGATATATCCGCGAAGAAGCGCCCAGATCAGCAGCTGACGCTGCAGGACTTCTCGATTGTGAATGAGAATCAGCAGATGTTAAACGAAATTTGGGACCGGAGGCCTTAGGGGACAAGGGAGAGGGTTTGGCGGACGGCGTGTTCTGGATCTTGATAATATAGTGTTTGATTTCGTATCAGTTTAGAGTGCTTGGCTTTTCAGATGTGGGTCTGCTGCAGCAGGACTCCCGGACATGGGCCGAGACTGAAGGCAGCTTGACTTAAGAATTGCGGCGTTCTAGCTGAGCTTTCCTTTCGGCCTCAGCTTACAAAATTGCAGGAGTACCCTGCAACATCACAGGGAGTGCGGTTGGATCCTAGGACAAGGAACATTTACTGGATCCTAGGACAAGGAACATTTACCGGGATGTTCTCCGTTCTCACCCTATTACAGGGACAAGCTCATATCCCAGGTCCCGAATTCCCTGCTGGCCCCGGAACCTAAATACCCTGGTCACTCTGGTCCTGGCGGGTGCTTCTCAAAATTGGTGTCCCTGTTCATAAGGGAGGGGAAGATGGGGAAGTGAATCAGTGAAGGGGCCAGTGATTTTAAGAAATCCCTTGCCATGCGAACTCACAACAAAGGATTCCTGATTCCGAGCCGTTCTGACCCAACGTCTCATCCCCAAACGTTGTTCTCTCGACCTCCAGTTTTTGCGATCCGGCACATGACAAACAACATTTACAAACAGAGCATTTGCTGCTTGCATCTACTTTTGCTTTAGGTGTGCAAGTATGGACATTTTCCGTGGGTGCCCTTGCCGGGGTTAAACGGCCAGTTTGCTATGTGACAGCTTGGCAGACCTACAGGTAACCCTAAACCCTACACCCGAATTCCAAAGCCCATATATCCCCAAACCCTAAACAACAATACCCCTAACGATCCTTCAGGGTCCTGGTAATGGCAGTCAATGAACTTCGAAACATTCCCACAGTGGTCCAGGCATCGCAGAGGGCATTCGCTCTTCTGAGTTCCCTTCCATGGAAGAGTGCCTGCTTCCCGTTTGCGCGGGACTGGCTCACTGTAAGGATGTTCTGTCCCTTGCAGGCCGGACTAGGGATTCAAGTTTCGGGATCCAGGTTTAGGAGCTGGAGGGTTTCAGAATGAGGTTTCGCTGTTCGGGGGCTAGATAAGCAGTTCGATTGTCGATTCCAGAGCCCAATGGCGGCGTCCATGGATTTGGTGAGCCTTGGTTATTTCGTAGCTGCGAGGTTCCCTAACTGCGCTTTAGACGCTCTTGCTGATGCCCCCTAGAACTCTTGTGCAAGCTGTGGCCCATGCATTGGGCGCCCTACTTGAAAAAGTTTTGTGCCCTGCGAATTCCAGCAAGCCTTTACAGCAAAAGACCCGGATCAGCTCCGAACTCTAAACTGGAACCCTCAGGCAAATTCCAGTGGTGTCAAAACTTTGGCCTGAACTGTGGGTTATTTTTACGTTGCCGCCTCTAATTTTTTGGGGGGTTATACCGGGGCAAACGCGAAACGCGGAACGGAATGGGGGCCCTGTCTTAAACAGTTATAGCACGCGCGGCTACTTCGCGTGCCTCCACCTAAAGAACAGGGATGCCAATCACAGATCCTGCTTTCATACATATCTCCCAGATGGGGATCTTACTTCTGATGTCCGCACGTCAGGCCATAAGGATCTTCAGTCCGTGGAGTTCGTCGTGCAGGAAGGAAGGCTTTGGCTGCTGCAGGCCTGGTGATCGTGAAAGTCAAATGAAAAAGTTTCTAGTTTGTCCTCGCCACATGCCGGATTATCGTGAGTCGTGAGCATCACTGTAATGCAGTGGCTGTGGTGGTTACTCTTGAGTCGCTTGGGGACTTGTTCAGCCTGAAGTCCTTGCGCCAGACAGCAAGTCAAATTTTGGTTGAAGAATGCAGCGCCCAAAATCGAATGCCCCACAGTCAAACGCATTCATGGAACCCGCCCCATCCCTCATTTGTGGAACTCCACCAAAACGGTTTTTCTGAGGCCTCGAGGCATGAGACCAAACGACCCATTGCGGCCGAGACTGCCCCAGCGCCTGCCCCCTCTTTGGAGCTGGAGGATCCAAAGCTGGAAGGTGCTCCTGTGAGGGCTCCTGTTGGGATGAGCTTCAGGGTTTAGGGCTTGGGCAGTAGGAGACAGGTTTTTATGGTTTAGGATGGTGTAGAGTTCAGGGCTTAGGGGTTCAGGTTCAGGGGTCAGTTGCAAGGCTGCTTGGATCTGGAGACCGAGACAGGCATGAGCACCACTTCAGACGAGGCAGCGGGCTGCAAGTTCACAGGCTTTTTGTCCTTCATGTTTCGGGCAGGGCTGATTCATAATTTGATCGTAGCAAGACCGTCACGAAGGCGTTAAGAGTCAGTGTAAAAAAGGAGAGTTGCAATTCAAGGAAATGCTACCTGTACCTAGGTGCACAGAATCCGCTGCAACAGGCAAAGGCGGTAGTACACAACATGGCTGACAATGAAGTAGGTTAGCAATTTCGTCAGTGCTGAGAACACCTGCAACTTGCTTCGCGAGGAGCCTGATGTCAGTTGTTGCAAAAACACAAACAGGCAAAGGCAGCACGCAGAAGGATAGTTAAAAGGCAAACATCGTGCCCATCCGCACCTGAGATGAGCTGGGGGTGGGAGACGCTCCAGGCCTCTGGCCTCAGCGGATTACCTGAAACAGTTGTATCCACGACAATAGCCACCACATTTATGACTCATGGTGATGTTGTTGGCTTCGACATCAACATGCAAAAGTTGATCGCGTCCAGCTTGTGACGACAGCCGCGTGATAGAGCAAGCCTAGGAAGTTGCTTCAAAAATCTCCAAGAGCGGGGGCGCTAGAAGACCGAAAGCCTCAACCATGTGGATCGAGAGATCATAAGTCCAAGCCTTAACCGCATGTTCTTCACCTGAGGCACGCTCATGACTCTCAGCTCTTTTCTTCTTGCGCTGAGGGTGACAGGGAGTGCTGTGAGAATAAAACGACGAGAACTTTGATAAGAACCACTCTTAATTGTAGCTGGCGATTCATCGTCCTCAATCGCTTGAAGTATTGCCAGCGCAAGACTACCGCGACGGCTGTTTCTGATTTACTGATGCTCTGATGCTCTTGTTAGCCTGTTGTTGTTGTTGTTGTTGTGGTGGTGGTGGTGGCGGCGGCGGCGGCGGTGGTGGTGGTGGTGGCGGCGTGGTCGTGGTCGTCGTCGTCGTGACTTTCCTAGGTCGTCCCGTTTCTGTCGTTTTGCAAGCACGTGTGTTGTGTTATTCGCGGTAGTGCTCTTGCTGTTGTGCTTTCCCGCGCTTTTACTATCAGGACCGCTCATGCCGAAGTTTTCCAGAGGTACTTCACGAGGAAAGGTGCCAACAGAGAGTTACTGTAGTTCACACTTAGGATGTCCATGCAGAGTAGCCCAGAAATTGTTTCTCTGCAGCGCTGCAGGCCGAGCTCTTCAGTACAGTCTCCCAAATGACGTCTGCAGATCCTGAGCCTGGGCCCTATGGCCTTTTCCGCGGACGTCCGGCCGGGATCTTCGCTGGCTGGCTTGGCTCTGGTGGTGCAAGGCCGTATGGGTCAAAGTGCCCGGGAGGTGGAAGAGAGTGTTGCAATTTTTGGGTATAGACGGTATAGATGAGGTAAGGTGTGTCAAGATTCACAGGTTCAGAGTTCAGGAATCAGGTGGTATAGACTGCGCAAGCGTGGAAGCCTGAATGCATGAGCTGACCGAGGCACAGTGCAGACCCAAGAGTCCCTGGTGAACACAAAAGCACGCTCAACCGACATGTGGTAGCTGCAAAACTCAAAGGGAGCCTCCAAAGGTATACTGCAACTGTGTGTCTGAGGAGCCATGCTTTTTGGGGAAGCTCTTGAAGGCTGACCCGTATAAGCCTCGTAAAGCATGGAAGGGGATCGGACTGATGTCCTTGAAGGAGGTCGAGCTGGAAGCCTACACTTGGCCAGCTGTGCTCAGAGACGCCTGTGCCAGAGGCACGCCCGTTGGTTGTTGGATGATGTGTGTAGTTCCTGTGATGTCTTTTGTGCGTTTGTGTGGTGTACTTTGGGTTTGAGTGGTTTTGAGATTTCAAACGGGCTCTTCAATTGCCTTTGGGGGGGTCTCAAGACTGTGCAGCTCCGAGACATAGTTCTCGTGTTTACCTGCTCTCACTATAGCCGCTATGGGCCCTGTCCTGTGGCAGTTCGCCGAAAAAATGCGATGGGGGGCGCAGGTAGATGGGTTGGACCGTGCCTAAACCTGCAAGCGCAGATTGCACAAAGGATGGTTTGGGCCCCAGGTTGGGGGCCATTGATGAGTGATCTCATGAACTATCATCAGTTGGTGGTGTTACCCTCTTGGATTTTTCCTGTGTCAGGAAATGCCGGAAGTCCCAGCTCCACCCTTGGCCACTGGGTTATTGATTGAGAAGCTTTTTAAGTTTACGTGGTTCCAAGGAATGGTTTCATCGCCACCAGCTAGCAGGCTAGCAATGCTCCAAACCCAATCATTGAAACCGTGAGGCAGCTGCCAATATGCTAGTAGTTCTAGCTAGGATCTCTTCAGAGTTGTCCCTGGGTTTGCACCTTCTTTCGATTCAAAGAGAGCATGTGTCCGCATCGGCGGGCATTGAGTGGCATTGAGAGAGCCATTCAGGGCTTCGGCGTCTTTAGGAGGATATACAGGGCGGTATAGTGAGGGACAGCTGGCAGACTCTCAACTAAGAATGGCCCCCACTGCTACTATCTCCCCAACCCCAGGCGCAAGCGCCAACATTCGGCTTGGCTTTGCCTTTGTGGCAAACTGCTGTAGCGGGCGGCCTCGCTTGCGTCTGGGTTCTGGGTTAGGATCTGTTTGCTTCAAGTTCCACTAAAGATCTCATGGCTGAACTTGTGCTTATATGAGCTACTGTAGGGTCTAAACTCCTCACAGAGGGGTTATATAGGGGTTTATATAGAGGGTCTACTATAAGGGGTTATTAAGGGGGATACAAGGAGTTTAGACTATGTCCCATATGCGCCTGGCAATCTGCCTTCCTTCATCGTGAACCCATGATTCCTCCAAACGCGCCGCACGTCTGCCGGGATCTTGCTTTGGGGACCTAGGTGGAGAACATGGATTCTCAGGGCGAGGGGTGATTCACAGATAGTCTTCAACACATAATATGCCATGGAAAATTACAATATACTATAATATATGATAGTATATCATAATGTGTTATAATATATGCTAGCCGTCCCCAAACCCCCCAAACAGACAGGCACGTAGACCCCTCAAGTGGGCAGCAATGTAGGGCCCCGTACTCGGTTCCTTTTTTTCACTTTGGGAGCTCTTTTGCGGGATTTTGGGGCCTCTAAGGTGTCTTCCACCGCGCCATGGCCGGCTCCGTTGGCGACCTCCTGGCTTCCTGGCTTCCAAACAGAGAATCTTTTGCCGGGGTTTGGAGTGATTTGGGATTCAGGGCACTGAGGTTTGAGGGCTTAATATCCTCATGTTTCGCAGTTTCAGAGTTTCAGCTGGCAGCATTTCGAAATTGGTTAGTGGTCCTTAGACTTGTGCCTCTCTTCATCGTTTCAGAAGACCTCCTCCTTTGTGCAAGCACTTGCATTCGACATGTTGCAGGATCAGAGGTCTATAGAGCTGCAGAGTATAAGGATTGAAACGGGTTTCTGGCCGATGGCCCACGCATCCGTGCGGCATGAGTTTTAGTTTTCAACATGTAACGCAGAGGCTTCGCAGGCTGGATGCAAAAACGTGTAGAAGGAACGTCTCGGGACTTGGATAAATGCTTTCAGCTCAGGTACAATCTCATACTCCTAAAGCCTCTATGTCTTCCTTACTTTGTTTACAATCTCCCCACGTAGGCCCAAGCCTCTCCGACAGCCACCAAGGCTTGCCCTACGCGCCAGTCAGGCATGCGCCAGTTGGTCGGACAGGCTTTCCCAACTTTTGCCACCAGCCGCGGTTTCATCTACGGGGAAAACACGGACGGTGTGTCATTCAGTGTCGTATGTGGGTTAGTGCCTACTGCTGCTTCTGGGGAAAACCGAGAGTGCCCACATCGCACGATTCTCGCGATGATCTCGGGTTTGGATTGCTCAAAGTCATGCAAAATACCAGGATATCCAAGGCATGTCTTGGAAGGGTGCCTCACTTTTTGGTGGCCGGGCCAAGACCGCTTGCTACGCATCATGCTCAATCCAAGGGCCGAAGCTCTCAACAACAAACCCGGAACCCTAGACTCCATGCATGTAGCTTTGGGTTTTGCCTTTCCTCAGCGCGATGCCCGTGTTGAAGCCCCATGCTAACCCAGGCCAGAAATGTAGTGAAGTTCTCCGCCGGCTTTCCTTTCGGCGCCGTTTGCTGCTCCTTTTACGTTCTGACCTCAGCTTCCAGAAGCAAGAGGGGCGTTCCTTTGATGGTGTCGACGATTTGCAAGATAGCTATGATGTCCCTTTGGCAACATAGGCCGCCCCAACCTGACCACAAGCCCCGACATGAATTTCAGGAATAGAGATCCCTCATATGATTGTGACGTGCTGTTTTAGAGCACTTGTGATTGAGGTCCTGCCTTCAGCCTTAGATACAGACCACGGGAATCCATTCTTTCAATGGATGTCCTTGTCTGGTGGATCCCTCTGCTACGATTTTTTCTGTCTGCGTGGCGAGTCACACATATGGTGTTGTGTTTAAGCATGGAGGACTGCAGATTTACCCCCAACCTTGCTTACTTGCAGAGCAGGTGCTACACATGTGGGCAGTTGTCAGCGGCCCTTTTGGGATACCGGAAAAGCCATTCGAATACATATGTATGTATACATACACACTTATGTGTTTATAAGTATATGTCTACATACAAGGAGGCAAACAGAGGCTTCCATTTGCAGCATTGGGATGCGGGAGCCACAGGCCACAATACCGGAAGCAGAGATACCAGTCCAAGAGTCGTGCGTCTTCCCAAGAAGCGCGCCCCGCAACAGTCAATTCATCTGCCCAATAGCCCTATTTGTGGTGCAATATCTTTCACCGGCTGGGGAAACTGAAGGGACAGTGAAAGAACCCCTGGTGGACAATTCGCTTGACCCAGAAGGTATAGCTAAGAATGAACTTTTGGGAGACTTCTGTGCCTCACTCCTATCGACATCTCGGGTCTCTATTCACCACCTCTGTGCTTGTTCGCTACGTACCGGAAACAAGCCATATTCATGAACCTAGCAGGAAGAGAAAGGCAAATATCACTAAACACATCGCGAGGAATACAAGTAGTAGGCAGGCAGACACGGAACCAGCTTTCTAAGATATTCTTGGCAACCCTGGCAATTGTCTTTCCGGGCCCTAGTCTGGGGACTAAATAGGGTTTAGGGTTTCTGCTGGGGTTGTAAAGGGATAAGGGACCAGATTGGGGTCATAATACAGGGGTGTTATAGTGGATAGTGCAAAAATAGAAGCTGCTATTTACTGCAGCACCTTTCTGTTCAACAGTACCTCATCGCTGGCCAAGGTCAACCTTTTGCACTGCTCTGCCGTGAGTTCAGGGAAGGATTCCGCGGACTCGTTGGACCCGCTAAGCAGCTTTGAGCGACGAGAACGTTTTGCTTTTTGTGTTTTTTTCTGGTTTGGATTGATGAAGCAAACCTTACACTGCTTGGGATACCTAAGCCAGAGTCATTCCTTGCTGGCAGGGCATCTGGAATATTGCAGGACTTCCGCCACCAAGACATATACAAGTTGAATGAACGATTCTGAGAGCCCCAGACACCAGAAAGACCACAGAGCAGCATCCGACTCGGTTTGGCAGATCGCCCTTGAAAATCTACTTCTTGTGATTTCTGGAGCAGGCGCAGGATTTACTGTAGGATTACGAAGGGCATGGGTTTTCGCCTGTTGCGGCAAGATGGACTTTGGTTACCGGGGCATCATCACACGGAAGTGCTTAGCTGCTTGGTGCTTATCTTTGACCGTTTCTTATGGTATCCCTGGTGCCCCGTCCTGGTGGCATTTGGAAGTATCAGATGATTAGTAGGTCAGCCTAACCAGCATCATGTCTGATTAGCGCACTCGTGTTTGCAATGCTGGCAAAGTGAATTCCGGAGCGCATACCTGGCTGATGAAGGCAGGGCTGCACATCGACTAGCATGGGGCGTTCTCAGTAAGTTCCGAAACCATTGATACTGCAACCAGTTTTGGTTTCTGGTTCCCAGGGAGCGAAGCGAAGAAAGGAAAAGTACATTTGCTGACAGCAGTGTTGTGGACCTCAGGTTTGCCAAGCAAAGTCAAAGACTACATTAATCCGCCCTTGTCAGCCCCTCGCAGAGTACAAGGCATCCTAGTTGGAGAAGCTTTCAGGGGTAGCCGCGTAAAAAAAAAAACAAAAAACACACACACACACACATTTAAGATGAACTGGGTAGGAAGGACCCATGCCTGCATCCCTTTTCTGAATTCAGCTTTGATACGTTTTGAGAAGCAGGCATTTCTGTAACCCCATCAGGTAGGTTCAGCTGCGCATCTGCTGCGGTCACTTGGCTCAAGTTGAATGATCTTGTTACTAAGGTGCCATGAGGGGTCTCAACAAGGTTTTGGCCGTGGCCCTCTGGGGATATGTAGAGGCGCCCGTTGATTTGCTGGCATGTTTTTTTTGGAGGCCTGCAAGGTGGAATGGCGGGCCAGCATTTGATAGGCATGCTTTCAAGATTCCGGCTGCTAGGGCTTCTTTTAAAAACATTTTTTGGATGTGCTGGACTGCGATAGCGTGGTTGTGATTTTCCACCTGACCCTAGGAATCTGGTGCAAAGCCCAGAAAGCACCTGATCCGGAAATCCGTTATTCGAAGCAAGCCCCACTTCCTAGACCTTGACGTATCCAACGATTTTCTTACTTTGCTAAGGTGACGCTGGCCACTGTTGCAACATATCCGCTGACCCGATCTTCTTCCTCAATTTTTGACAAGAAGACCCTGAGTGTACGCCCCTGGGCCACAAAGCTCTTGAGAGAATTTGCCGCGCTGCATCCGCGATTGTTCTGATCATCTTGTGCTGCCCCCCATCGCCAGCAGCAGCCTCCGCAGCAGCCTCACTATTGCCATCATTTCGTAGAAGTCTTAAGAATTTTGTTCTTGTTCTCAGCATCATCACCACATTTTGAGGTGCTGCAGCGCAGGCCTTGGGCTCCCACGGCCGCCGGGCTGTGGCCTCGGCCAACCCAGTGGCTGCAGTGGAGATGCGGCTTCAGCGCATGTTGCGGGAGCATTGTCAGGGCTCGAAGGATGCAATGCATAATGGCACTTGATGTGCGATTTGTGCGTGGGGTTTAGGGGCTGGTAGACACTGTAGGGATTATGCGGAATGGGCTTGAAAGAAGTGAGATTTGTCCGGAGCTGCGGGCACTAAGCCTCAATGTTTTGTCAATGTGACAGAGCATGCGTGCTGCTGTTTGTAGCGTTAGGGGTGCTACATTCATGGCTTGATGCAGTTGTGGGTATGCTCGCAGTTAAACTTCAAGCGACAAGCCAGGCATGTCGCAGGCGTCAAAACTCCAAAGATGAGTCGAGCAAGACATTATGTCAAGGAAACTTAAGCCTTCACTAGTTTAGGCAAGCCGACCCCATGCTGACATGGCAGGTGCGCAATTGACGTCGTCCGCAATATGGGCACAAGTGCAGGCTGGTGCTTGCTGACTGTATAGGAGCTCCACCAGTTGCACATCTTGTAGCATTCAGGAATCTTGGTTCGCTTGGGGAAGCTCACGCAGTAGGCATTCTGAGACGTCTGCGTTTAGTACATCCAACTGCCCCAGAGCCTTGCAACTGGAGGCATCCTTCCTGACCACAGACAGCTTTGAGCGATGATTTATTAACTGCATGCGCGCACGAGGCTTGGTGACTAGCCCGAGCTTGCTCTTCGCATCTGGATGTGCTGCAGGACATTCGGGCATTTTGTCCCTAGGTGACTGCATCAGCAAGTTCCCACATCGATTGAAACTATTTCTTTGGGAGGGACAAGCCATTCAAGTTGAACTATGTAAGAGAAGGGCCAGGTCCATTGCCATTCGTCATGTGGGCACGCACCACCAACAATCCACCCAACAGCTGCCATATGGAGTGGTCATCACAACAACAAACGATACCCTGGAAGTAAGCAGAAGACTCAACATGCCGAATGCGCACCCATGCCGTCCCGGCCCCTGCACTGAACCTAAATCAACCCGGATCCCCCTATGCCTAAGCCCGGAAGCCTTTGTGGCTGCATAAGATGAACAGCAGGTGCCTTGTGACTGTTCAGTGCCGGCATTCCCGACCCTGTTCAAGGTGCAGTGAGCAAGCTGCGAAGCGTGGGTGGTACTTGCTCGGTTGTGTTTATGTATGACACCAAAGGTACCATAAGTTACAACTGCCTGTCAAACTCCGGCGGTCTGTAAAGCGGAGGATGCTTTGCACAGTCCCTGGTCCACCTGCACGATGCGGCAAGGCAGCAGCTAGGGTGAAACCTTAGTTCTCGGGTGGTGTTGACCAGGTTTCTCATAACTGCTAGGTTGCAAGTGGTTGTTGATTGCTGACATCACATGTGCATCAATCAGTTGGAGAGCCCATAGGTGGGTCGCACAACATGCGCCGAGGATAGGGCGTTTGCAATGGATATTGAGGAACAGCTCCATGTCACAACAACTGAATTAAACTACTGCCTATGATTTGGGGAGTTTGGATCTTGTACGGTTCCCTGTACACGCCGAAAGTTCTGTTGGCTTACGAGAAGCCCAAACGGCTATGACGAGTCTAGCTGCTTGGGGATTCGGGGAAAGAATTCCGTGGCCTGCCAGGCAGCCCGCCCAGCCTCCCGCACCGCGAACCCGACGCGAGCGCTTCCAGGGACTCTGCAGGCCCCAGAATTCGGGCAACAATATTCATGGCAGTGGTGAAGCCTCACTGATGAGGAAGATTATCCCTTCACTATCCTCATATTCCAAATAATTAACTAACACCCTGTTTTGCTTGTTTATGTTGTGGGGTGCCTGCAGCAGGCCTATAGCATCGGGTCGCAGGCTTAATTAGGCATTAATTCAGCACTCCAAACGCTTGTGATACTAACGAGAATCAATAGGCAACAAGCGACATGATAGCAACAATCATGTTAAGACTCACAGTATCATGTTAAGACTCAAAGTCACGGGCACGCCGATGGATGAGACGGACTAACCCCGGCAGTGCAGCTAGGGCCAGCAGCTAGGGTTTGCCGGGCAAGCCCGGGGTGCTTTGAATTTCAAGGGTTGGGGGGCCAAGATGGCGTTGAAACCGCTGAGAAGGTTGGTCAAGAGTTTTCCCTGGGAGCCATACCGAACCCCGATCAGCTTGTTCTGTGCTATTCATAGCTCGGAAGATCAACTCCAGCACATCGCCCATTATTTGGAGTAACGCAACAGAACACTAGCTCTAGAACCCTCCGCGCCACACGCATTGACCGGAATGGGGATCCCTCAGATTAACTTAGACCTCTGAAGCCTGAAACGTGGGCATATGGGATCTTGCCGATGCCTCTGTTTCAACTTCCTTGATTTGTTACAGTTTGTACGATGTGTTTCCACTGTTAAGTCTCGAATCTATTCAGGCATGGCTGCAGTAGGATGTCCACAAACCCCAGCCAAAGACCCATTTGCGTCAGAATCCCCAATACTATGCTCGCAACGTGGGCCTAGATTCCTCCCCAAGTGCTTGGTACCAGCCTCTGCATGCAGGAGCCTGGGGCCAACATTTTTGAAGCACGCCCCAGCGGTGGGTGTGAACTCTTTGGTGCGTGTGGGCTTGGTTTCTCATTTCCTGAGCCAGCAGTAAGAGCTGCAGATGCCACCAAAGAGTTTAGGTCCGTGACTTAGAGATGTGGGTTTGGGTCCTCATGGGATTTTTTTTTGTAAAGCGTGTGGCATTTATGGGACTAATTTCGAGGAGAGTATGAGGCCTAGTTGGAGGCATCGCCAGCTGCTGAGACCACACATGTTTGTTAACGAAGCCTCCAAAGCAAGTCCAGCTGCTGCAACGCCGCAGTCTTTGTTCTAGCCGCCTCACGGAGAGTTCTGCCGGTACCAAACTAAACAGATGTAAGTAGAAAAGGGGGAGTAGTTACACATCGTAGATTGCAGTGGGTCTGGCATGCGGGTTGTCAGTAGTCTCGACTTGTTTGCAAAGACTGCTAGACGGCGTTGCTGGCTTTGGCAGGGGCATTGTTGTCAATTCCCAGACACTTCAAAGATGAACGCTGCTAGCGTTTCGTAGGCCTTGGATGATTGGTTTGTAATTGCTGCTACGGTCCTTGTTATTCGACCAGCATTTGAAGTGCTCTCCGCACCCTGCATATTCTTTCAACGTCGGGTAGGCACAGCTACGCAGCCACAGCAGCACAGCAGACGCTGGAGCAGTCCAATCTGCATCAACACGGGACATCTTTCTACAAGCATGGATGCAGGGATGGCCACGGTTAAGCCCCAAATCGTGCCACATGTTTTTGGTAGTGGTGTTCGTCTTGCTTGAGCAATGTCGGTGGTGATGATAGTGAGGTTAATGATATCACTGATGCGGCCTTGGTGATGATGGTGATGTGATGATGATGGATGATGAGTAACGCTGATGCCGGCTTGTTTTGTGTTTCTTGCAGGAATCTTTATGGCCAAACCTGCAAAACATGTTCTAGATTCCAATAGGCTTCGAGGGATGATCGTCTAGGCAGGCATTCCGGACATCAAGTTGCGAGGGGCCCAACCAGCAGGCTGTGGCTGCCAGAAACACAGAACCTGTACAGACCTACACGCTTCGAGGTCCATGGGCCGCCTTTTTTTGGAAGAACAGCAAGGTTCAGCCCCTGCATGATAAGAGTGACTCTGCACGAGCATATGCACCTGGACCGTTTTGTACTTGGCGCCGCAATTACCTGGGATCTCGGAAGCTAGAAGCCTTCCACATAGGTGTCTTGGTTTTGGAGCGTCTCCCCCGCACTTACTGATTACTGGACTCTGGATTCTTCAGTCTTAAGCCACCCAGCCCGAATTAAGGCATTCACATCCCTGCTTTGATCTGACCATGGCTTGCTTACGCACCCCCAGCACAGCCCACACCCCTAAAAGTCTACCTGCAGAGTAAGACGGCACTGAAAACCCGCAACCTGATCAGACTAGCCAAGAGGCCAAGATGCGAGCGATCCTCAGGTCTTCTGTGGCTGGTCCAGCTGCGCTCGTAACCGGTACCTCAAGTCTCCTTGAAGTTGAGTGTGCTTCAGTCAGTGTTTGCAATAGGTCTGTCGCTGTGTATTTAGCCTACAGGCTTGCTGTTTGCTTGTATTCTGGAGCGGCAACCCGTGACAGTCCTCTTCCATATGGGGCTTTCTCAAAACTGTGGGTTCATGTTTGGGATCCTGTTATTTTGACATATTGAGGTTTCTCCATTTGTAGAAATACTGTATCGAGCTTTCTGGAGGAAAGCCATGAGCTTCTTACCCTCAGTTCGGTTTAAACAAGAGGAATGCGATATGAGCGCCGTTGGGTCGCTGCGGCACATTGACCCTGAATTCACCGCTCCTTTTGAAAGAGCTCGCGGTGGCTTGCAGATGGGATTCCATGGATGCCACATCTCCGCAGGAGCCATGGGGCTTAATCATAATTGTTCCTGGAGTTTTGCTTGTTGTTCTCGTTCCTCACTCAATAAAACACACATACATGTAGATGATCCGAGGTGATGGCTTTCGTAAGGATGGAGTTAAGACATCAATGAAGAATCCAGTCTCCGTAGAACGGTGGTTTGTGTCAGCGGCAGTGATGGAACGTGCTGCTGTTCACGGCCCAAATGGCCTTAAGTTTTTGAGGTTCAAGACCCTCAAGTACCGTCTCTTACAGCATGTGGCAGCTGTGGTGTCGAGATATAGCTCTGTTTTCTACCTTCATCATCCCGAGCTGTTCGGGATGGATAAAGAAGTCAAATTTGAAGAGGAGCACCTAGAAAAAAATGATTGCTGCAGTGATGATGCAATAGGCCAAAAGTGGAGGCATGGCTTACAACAGCTACTTCATAAGTAGCTATTGCATTCACAAGAGAGGGTAATCATCATGCAGTTGTGTACAGGGCAAAGATTGCTCTGCCTACCAGAAGTGGTGTTTGAGTCGCGGCGTCAGGGCCCAAGGAAAGTGAAGCGGTCTCTGAAACAAACTGAGGGCTACAATGATGCGACTTCACTGGCTGTTCGGG